TTTCATGTTAAGGAATTTATATAATCTCTCACTAGAGTCCCAAGACAATAATTAATTTAATGGTTTCTAATCCAAGTCGAAGTAATCCTAAATAAAATTGTTACCTACTTGAACTGGATTGTTTCTTCTTTTCTGGTGGAACATGTTATATTTCCTAATTTATATGCTATTACACTCATTTTTAGTTATGCATTGGGTGCATAGACTATTAATCAATGCCACACATATTGCTATAAGATTCAAGAGTGTTTTGTGTCTTAAATACAAAACAAGAACATAGGAGATACCAATTTTTCTTGATATATTTCTAGAATGAAACAGAGGTCCAATTTGTAAAGCAAAGTCAAATGCCTAAGCGGGTGCATTCTTTAATATTTTATGTTTAGAGTACTCGCTACTATAACTTGAAAAATATGTATGTAAGGTGTGCTCATGCTAGTGCAATATATTTTCAGACTATGTTAATAAAATGAATTTGTTTCTTTATTTTCAATTATTATGATATCATTTATTAATTACCTATCATTACTAATGTTTGTATATTGAACTATTATGAATTTATACGTAATAGAAACTTGACATATATATATAATATATTTTGAAATTATTTTGTATTTCATTTTAATTATTTTAGATTTTTCTCTCTTATATTAGTTTCACTTGGTGTAGATTGAGACAAAATGGATGTTAGCCTAGTTAATACCAGAATTACTTCAAGAAAATGTAAAAGAGAAGAGCTCAAGGAGATAACCATATTGGTTGTTGCTTATGTGGTTTATATAGTTATGAGTGTAGTAGCATGATACCATAAAAATTATTTTGTTAAGGAACCATCCTATAATTGGGAATTGGAGCGGCGTAGTTTTCTTAATAAGTGGTTTAACTTCAATGGAGTCATCCAAAGCGAACTTGAAGGGAAAACGAAAGATGACAGAAAGAAGTAATGAGGAAACAAGAAGTTATTTCACATGGAATTTGGAGATGGAACGTGCATTAGCTGAGGTATTACGAGATCAAAGAAGTTTGGGCAACAAGAGTGATGGAGCTTGAAAAAGGGTAGCATATAATGCTGCAGCTGTAATGTTAACTACCAACTTCAAAATCCAGGTCACTTGGGAAAATGTAAAAAATCGTATGAAACTTTGGAGATCATGGTATGGAGTTGTTAGTGACATCCTCAGTCAAAGTGGATTTGATTGGGATGGCACAAATCATATGATTATAGTTGACAATGAAAATGCTTGAAATGAGTATGTTAATGTAAGTAATTTTATATTATCATTATTTAAAGCAATGTAATTTTTTTTCCTATTACTGACTTGTTTCTTTTGTTTTCAAGGCCCATAAAGAAGCAAGACAATTTCGTTTCAAGGTGATTGCAAATTGGGATGATATAGTGGACTTGGGTGCTAAAGATAGAGCTACTGGACATGGAGCTGAGACTGCTATTGATATTGATGAGATCATGAGCAGAGAATTAAATGAAGGAGAATTAGGTTTAGAGGGTGATAGTGATACCATATATTTAGATGAATCTAGCTCTATTACACAAAGAAGGGGTCAATCTTCAGCTTCTACTAGCACCCAATCTTAAAGGAGAAAGACAGGAGAAAAAGATGGAATAACTAATTCGTTGAAAAAAGTGGCTGAATCATTAAAGCGACTTGTTCAAGCATTTGATATTACGATTGATGAAGATGATTTTATTCAAGAAGTGTTAGCTGAAGCAGCTTTGATACCAAACCTTAAGCAACATCAATGGGTCAAAGCTGTTAAATGGTTATCTGACACTCCAAAATAGTTAGCTATTGTGAAAGCTCTTCCAATTGAAAAAAAGGGGCTTATGTTTTAACACATTTCTTGATGTAATTTTTTTTCATAACTTCTTAATTTTTATTAATTTGATTAGTTATTGCAAGTTAGCTTTCTAACTTTTTCATGGATTTTGTATGATTCAGGTTTGGAGCTTTTATGTATTGCACGAATACTTGGATGTTACCATTAGGTCAGTTACTTTATAAATTTTATAATTAGCTTGCACAGTTTTTGTTCATGGATAATATATTTGACAGCTTTCTCATTTTTATAGTGGATCTCCTGTTGACAACCTTTTATGCATTTTTAGTTGTTCACGGATAATGTAGTGTAATGACAATTTTTCATTTAGATTTTCCTATTTAGCTTCATTTTTTGTCTTTATTTTATTGCATTTTTGTTTTGGATTGATTATATATGCTAGAAATGATCCATATATATATATGAAAAGTTTTTGTTGTTTTATAATTGCAATGAGAATTATTCTAGTATATGCTATGTCTTCCGATTCTTGCTCTCCTAACTGTATTTTTTGTTTAATTTTTTTGGCAATGTTTTCAAGTTGAATGATGTTTTGTTTGCATGACTTCACTGGAGGACTCATCAAGTTTTAGTTAAAATATTGATTTATGTTATGATTTCTTTGAGTGTGAAATATTTGACCCATCTGCATCTCTTTTGATTATCCTTTGTTCCCAAAAGCTATCTCAATCCGGTTACAAAGACAAAATGGTTTCAATATTTAAAGAATGAAGATGAATGTTTTAGAGTGTGCATTGACCATGTATGATGACAAGAACTAGAAATTAAAACCCGTGATTCACAACATGATTTTAAATCAAAAGATTGTAGCTTACTTTGGCAATGAATGCTTTTTCTTTATATAGTACAAAAGAGAGTCAAACTTTAGCTTTTCCTTTCTTTTTTTAGTCCTATTTTTACTGGATTCCACCTTCCTTTTTCCCTCTCTTCATCTTGCTAGTTGTTTTGAAGTTGTGACCTTGATCTAGCATGGTAACAAGATTGTATCTTGATTTTTTTTTTTGTAGGCTTTGCTTCTATGAGGAGGTGAAAATCTTTGGTCTTGAAGTTGTGACCTTGATATCTTCAACAAACTATCTTTTATTCTTGTTATTTTAATATGAACATAAAATACATTTAGAATTTCATTAGTGTTTAGTTTAAATTCGTATGAGATATTGTGATTTTGAACTACCTATACTCAAAGTTAAAAACTTCTATTATTTTTGCTTAGTTTAAAATGGACTCATCAGGAATCAATGTGTGTTAATTGTTTTTATGGAAGTTAATGGTATTTTGAAATTTTTAAATATGTTATGAATTTAAAATATTTTTAAATTTATAAAGAAAAAATTGATTAAATATAATGTCTAGTACTATTTTTGAAATAATTAAAATTTTTTAATATTAAAATTAATTTTCAATTATTAAATATATTTTAATAAAATTTAATATTAAAACTTTAATTTTTAATAAATATTTAAAAATGAAA